TACAGTTTAACCAGGCATAATACCAACAATGTATAAAACAATACAGTTTAACAAGGCATAATACCAACAATGTATATGGGTTCTGGTTTCTCTTTTTGCCAATTGTCGAAATAAATGTATTTTACTTATATTTTTTAATAGTATAAATATATACTTTGTAGTTGTTGGGCTGAGAATTCTTCTACAGTAGGTGTCTGTGACTTGTTAGCGATAAATTCAATGAAGAATAAATAGCATACACTTTACTTATTTTCAAAGAATATATATATTCAGAACAAGTTAAACGTATATACAATAAAGTTTCCACACTATAGAGAATATAAGCACATCGTAAACGTTATATCAGTATATGCATAGTTCTCCTCTTCTTGTCAAAATTCCACTTAGGCCTGTTCAATTATTTAGAATCTCGGTTGACAAGCCGAACCATTTTCGCTAATACTATCGCAATATTACTATTAGTCTAGTGTGATTCACTTACGATTGTGGTCTTCTTTCTTCTGAAAATCCTATGTTCCTTGTGCACTCAGGCTGATTCATTTAGTTTAGATTTTGCTTTGATGGAATAAACTTATTTTTTCTTATTTCTTTTTCCACTGTTAGTTTCACTCTAATATATATATCAAACGTTAGGCCTATGTCAGTCGTTAGGCCTATCACTTTTATGTTACTTAACTTCACACCAAATATATTCTCTGCTTTTATCTGTCTAATACTGTTTGTCTGCTGCTTTCCGCTTGTCTCAAGCCACTTTCTATATTCTTGACACAAATTAGTTATTAACAAAACCTTTTACAATTGTCTGCTTTTAACTCTTATTATAACAAAACTTAAAAATAATAAAATATTCACTCACAAATATAAATTAATCACTAATATTTAAACCAAACAGTATTTTTTTATATCATGAAAAACATAATACAGTTTAACTAGGCATATTACCAACAATGTATAAGACAATACAGTTCACAACTAGAGTAACAGGTTGTTAGTGGAATGTAACTTTCTGTTATGTAGTGCCAAATTACTAAAGTACAAAATTATGTCTTATTTGCTAAGAAATATAATCATTATAGGAACGTCTGTTGTTCAGTGAGTCACGGTAATTTCTGCTTTGTATAATTGATACTTGAAACCATCCGTACTTGGTGAAACTCCATAATAAGAGAATTGAGGAAAAAACACAAAGACAATTGTACATTTTACATCAGGTACCTTTACTGGCAAAAACCATTGTTAACAAATGAAGTTTTTGTGAAATCTACAATTGTCTTTTATCTTAATTCTGATTTGTCTTGTAACATTCCCACAAGTCTGTAGTTCACCTTTCTTCACAGGAAAACAATTTTTTTATTTTTTGAATGGTGTTTACAATCCTAAAAAACAAAACTAGTCATTCTAAAGAACTGTAAGCTATATAGGGTGAAATACTGACTAAACAAATGTTTCTTACGTGTTTATAGATGTATGTTATTCAAATGTAAAGTATTTTACATCAAAACCTAAAAAATGTTTATTAATTAAAGTGTACAGTAGCATGTTTTAAGACACATCTGTATTAAGGATTCAGTTCTAAAGTGTACAGTAGAATGTTTTAAGTCTGTATTAAGGATTCAGTTCTAAAGTGTACAGTAGCATGTTTTAAGACAGATCTGTATGAAGGATTCAGTTCTAAAGAACTGAATCCTTAATACAGATGTGTCTTAAAACATTCTACTGTACACTTTAGAACTGAATCCTTAATACAGATGTGTCTTAAAACATTCTACTGTACACTTTAGAACTGAATCCTTAATACAGATGTGTCTTAAAACATTCTACTGTACACTCTAGATTGTCATAGTTTATCAGATGATTTCAGAATATAATATTGTTCTGTTTTTGTTCTCCCTGGTTTTTTGAGGGAGGCTGTAGAAGTATTTTGAAGTGTTAGTAATTGGACTTCTAGATAGCATAATTTAACTAATTATTAAACAGAAATATAGTAAAAATAGAATTATTATATACTTGCCTGTACAGTAAATGTATTTAAGAATAATCATTTCTATAACTGGAATGTAATTAATTTTGAGCTTAACTGGTAAAGGTTTTGATAAAAAGTTTTGGGTGTATTTACTACTTAAAATTGAATTATGAATATTACAAGTTCCCTTCTATTCTTGAATATGACTATAAATTGAAGAACAGAGTAACTTGGTAACATATATTTTATTGGTTCCTTTTTTTTTTTAGCAAATAAGTTCTGGATTTTTTTAACAAGTGTTACTTGTGTTTTAGTGGCAGCATGTTTCATTCTTCATGTTGATGATACCTCAGGTCCTGATGAGACCATTGAAAAGCTTCGACAGCTTTGTGGCCCTGGTGCCGTGCAGACAGTTAAGGTTTGTGCTTTGATTAAAATATAACAGATGATAGTACTAAGGTATCTCTGGTAGGTTGAGTCGGGTGCTGTGTGAATTCACATAGTGGAACTGTAACTAATCAATTGATCACATCTGTTAACATCGGGTGCTGTGTGAATTCACATAGTGTAACTGTAACTAATCGATTGATCACATCTGTTAACATCGGGTGCTGTGTGAATTCACATGGTGTAACTAACTAATCGATCGATCACATCTGTTAACATCGGGTGCTGTGTGAATTCACATGGTGTAACTGTAACTAATCGATCGATCACATCTGTTAACATCGGGTGCTGTGTGAATTCACATAGTGTAACTGTAACTAATCGATTGATCACATCTGTTAACATCCTATAAACAGTTGGAAATATGAAACATGTTTTCTCATATTTGATAACAAAACCCATTTCCATGTTAGACGACTACTACATTATCAAGCTGTCTGCTCTCACGTAAACAACATTTACAAGTTGAGAATGGTGACTGCCTCTACACATGACATATATAACGAAGTTAAACCTATCAGTTTCCGTTATTAAATGTTGTGAAATCGTAAGAATCTGATGTTTAAACAAGATATACATTGAGAGTGGAAGACTTTTTTTTTTAACTGACAGTTTATCACACCTGATGCTAATGTTTGTGCACAATGAATCTTGCAGTCAAGAAGCATCGGGTTAACAGAGTGTGTATCAGTGTTTGAAGTTCAGCATTATTTACATCTTTTTAACCAGATTACATATATGAACCTAAAATTTGTGATGAAAATCACGTAAACTGCAGATGTTTTCCACATTCCTCTTAGTTTGTACATTTTCCATGCAAAATTAGAAGCATGTAAAAAATAGCATTTCAGGTGCCTTTCACTCAATACAGAATTCATCAATTTAAAAACAAACACAGTTTATATGATTTTAGGCGTATTGCTTCCTAATGATTCACCAGCTTTCAGTCTTAACTGTAACTTTTAAAGAATATATATATTTGTTTTTGAATCCAAAAACTAAATCTTAGCTAGAATAACATAGAAATATACTCAGACTTTGGAAACTTCTGTGAACTTGAAAATATGGGATCCAATAACTGGTCTGGAGAGTTATCACAAGTCTGTTGAAGAAGCACATCTGCCCAAAACTACTGGAATTAGGGAAAGTTCAACCTAGTTTATGTAAAGACATTTCTTCTCATGTTGTAAATTATTTTTAGTTTGTTTACTGCAGAAACAAAAAGTCTTAAGTAAAATATTGACTGTTCAGATATAAAAACACAATAAAGCAACAAACCTGTTACTTTTTCCAATCATAATAACATAATATTTTGGGACAACAGGTGACCTATTGGTCCATCTTAGCTGTTCAGTCCTCAAAACTAAATTAAAATGATTAAAAAAAATTAAATAAAAGAATCTTAAAGCTAGCCCTTTTCATTCATATACTTATCAAGCTTTTTATTAAACTCGCTTAAATTTACTACCTGTACAACATCTGAAGGCAACCCATTCCAAAGACCAACCACCCTGTTAGAAAAATAACTGTCTTAGCTGAAGATGACTCCT